CATCCAGACCCTGACAAAACCTCGCAAAAACCAGCTCTTCACCCCAGGAGGGATGGGATAATAGACTGGGGCTGGCCCGGGAGTCCGTGACGCAGTGAAGACGGCTAGACTGACTCTTCCTTTCCCAGGTTTCTCAAGCGCCCTGCACTTGACGCCCCTGGGTTTCCGGCTGGGGGACCCAGGCTGGAGATTTGGAGAAAGAGGTGAGGAGTCAACGAAGCCCTTACTGTGATGACAGCGGGCCGAAGATGCCCCTCCCTGGTCCCAGGATCTACCCTCGCCCCCCGTGCCAGCGTTCCGGCCAGTGAGAGAGACCCCTCCCTTCCCTTCCTCCCCACACCCCAACCGAGCCCTACTCTTCGCTGCCAGAGGAGCAGGTATCCGCTAGGGGGCGCGCCTTGCATCGTCGGCCACCCGCTCCACAAGCTGCGATTCCGGGGGCTGCCGACTTTCCGGGATGGCTAGCGCATTCCCTTTGGGGGTGCCCACAGCCCTCCGATCCCCCGCTTGGCCCAGGGTTTCCTTCCCAGCCTCAGGCCGTTGCCCGCCCCGCTCTGCCGCCACGGTCAACGCACCCTATTCGACGCCCTCCAGCCGTCACCCCGGCTCCTATCGCGCGCACCTGAGCCTCGCGAACCGCGCCGGGGGCCCCACCCGGCTCCTGCTCCTGGCCTGACCTCCCCAAGCGGCGCGGGCCGCCCCCCGCCTCGCCCCCTCCCTGCAGAAGCCGGTCTCCTCCCTCCTCGGTGAGGACAGCCGCTGCCCGCATCCGCGAGCCCGGACACACTTTACCCTGCACCCCTGAATCTGAGGGAGAGCGCCCCCTCTCGGTTCCCCGCAACTAACCCTTAGAAATCCCCTGGCGCCCCACCGCCTCCTCCTTCGAGGGACGCCTCACCGTCCCCAGGGTGGCCAGTGACAACGGTCTCAAGTGGTGTCCCCGCCTCCTGAGCCTTGATGCCGCCCTCTCGGACCCTCCGCGTCCCGGCGGCTCTTACAGTTTGCACTTGGGGCCCAGGAGAATCCTGGGTGCCGACCCCCCATCTGTGTAGGCCGCTGTGGATCCTTCTCTGCTCTCTTAGCTGCACCGCCCCCGCGGCTGACGCCTCCTCTGCTCCCGTCCCTCCTGCCCCGCCAGGTCTGGTTATCTTTCTGGTCAGGCCATCCGGTTACTGGGTCCCACCCCACCCCCACCCCCACCCCTACCCATCAAAGCAGGCTGCAGGGGGGCAGTGGGGGAAGCCAGACAAAGACACCATCCGGGTCACTCAGGCCAGTGGGGCAGCTCTCCTTGTTTGGCCCAAACCTGAAAGGCTTGAGAACGCCTTCGTTCCAGCACATTCGTTCTCCCCAGGCTTGCATTTTCAGTCTTTTAACTCTAAATGGGCGATTTTGTCTACATTTAAAGGAATTCCAGGAATTAAATTCATGTTATCATTTTTCTTTCATCTCTGCAAGGTCCCTCACGTTTTCCCCTTTTATCTGTATATTCCACTCCCCTTTGCCCGCCCCTAGACTTGGTCATTCCATTCTTTCGATCCTATGTTTTTCCGCGTTCTCAGGGAGAGGAAAAAAAAGGTGGTTTTGCTGGCATGCATTTTCACTTTGTCTCAGAAGAACTGTATTATTTCTCACTCAGGTTTCTTTTCACTCAGTGCTAGGATTTCAAGATCAACACACAGAGCTGTCTCTTCTAACGACGGTGCTCATCCACCCACCATATTTTACCTTCCCCATCTCCTGCACCACTCTCAAACATATCCTTTCTTGTGCAATGCTTCTCAAACATTTGTGTGCATGGGTAGCACTCCGGATCTCCTTAAAATGCAGGCTCTGATTCGGCAAGCCTGGGGTGGGGCCTGACACTGCATTTCTAGCCAGCTTCCAGGTGAGACCTATACTGCCGGTCCTGGTGGGACCACACTTTGAGAAGCAAGGCCCTAAGGGCCTCGGTGGGAATTCATTTTGAATTGCTGGGTCACAGGGTATGTGTTGACCTGATAAATATTGCCCATCAGCTCTCCAGTCTGTCCTTACCACCTTATCCTCTACCAGCAGAGCAGGAGGGTAGAAGGTATATATTTATGTGGGGAAGGGAAGGCGGCTTTCTCCTTGTTCCTGTCCATATCCTTCCTCCCCCTCCCCTGCAGTGTGCCTGGTCTGGGTCAAAATGTCCTGTCTCCTTTAATCAGAATGACCCCAAGGCTCTGAAGTGATGACCCTGACCACATTTGAGGGAGAACCATAAGGAGATGGGAAGGAAGGACTGTGCCTGGAGTTTCAGGCGCGGATGCTGAAGGCATCTGACCAGTGGCCTTCATGGTTATGAAACTCCACAGCAAATGGGTTTTAACAAAAAGAAACTTGTGTTCTAGGGGCCGGTCCCTATTGGCCTGAATGTTTAGGTGGTAGGAGAGGGGAACTTTGGTTCTGGGGCTCCAGGAGCAGAAATTTCAGGCTTAGAGATGCAGTGGGGTGAGGACTGGGTAGGGGTCAGGCGGGTGGGTCTTAGCTGTGATTAGAGCTGTCTGCCAGGTGCCTTATGTGGTCATGACAGATCACTATGTTGCTTGGAGGGTTAGCGGGTATATGAATGGCCGCCAACATGCTGGGTATGAAGGGATGCCACCTTCCACGATCTTCCTGGTACTTGTGAGCAGCTTGTTGGGACAGTTTCAGAAACCCACGGGCTATGCGCTCCCCCACTCACACCGCTGGCCAAGTATCTCCTGGCACTGAGTCCCAGCCCCAAGCATTTCACAATCAGGAGAGTCCAACATCTGCACATTTTGAGATTTCATGTCACACGATCTTTTACATCTTGTCCACACCCATCCATCCCCGTTTAACCATCGGAGGGCCAAAAGGGTACCCATGACAGAGCATCTCTCTGAAGGCCTAGGGAAGCTTCCTGCTCTGTCGACCACCTTCGAGGTCAGAAGACCTTTCGAGCCTACAGATTTTTCTTATAGTTCAATGCAAAAATCTTACAGTTTTCCGGTCTTTGCGAAGTGCTTCACACACAAGGTATTGCCTTTGACTCACACCAGCCCCGTGACAGGGTTGAGACCCACTCACCCCTGAGGTTCAAAAGAATTAACTGGCCGTGGCCACACATTGTGTAAGTGGGGAAATGGGACTTCTCGTTCATTTTTCCATAACAGACCTTAGGAATCTTAGCGCGGGGAACCCTTTGGGATCCTCACTACCCTAGTTGGCCCGCTTAGAGATATGCACTGAGGCAGAAGGTAGGAGGTCTAGGGAGTGGGGAGTGCCTGGGCAGAAAGGACTGGGAAGTGAGTTCGCTGAGGTCTCATGGGGGTTCTGGCCAGCCCTTTCTCGGCCAGCTTTCTGTCCGTGGGCCCTTTCTAGAGCCTGGGGAAGTGGAAAGAGGGGGTGAGTGTGAGGAATACCAAGCTAGAAGTTCTCAATGAGTCTGCACCTGGAAGAAAGAGAGGCTGCCAGTTGCTAAGGGAGCCCTGGTGGTGTCTCCACCCTGGTGGGAGCTCTAGATGGCTTGGCCCAGCTCCGCCCCTGGCTAAGCCTTCTGCCCTGTCCCTTCTTCTCAAAGTCCCTGACGCCCCACACCAAGTACCTGCAGCCTGGGCTTGAGGGAGGTGCCCGGAGGTCAGGCCAGTCTACCCTCTGGTCTCTAGCAACATCACCTATGGCCCGAGCAGCGCTAGGGACTGGTCGTCCGGGGCCCGCTGAGGCCACTGCCCTCCCCCCCCCGCCCCCCCACCCCGGGGCCTCAGGCCCTAGGCCAGGGTTCAACAGACACAGGCAGCAGGATGGGGTTGCCCTTCTATTGGTCCGAGTCCTGAGCGAAGTCTGGGTGAGACATGGAGGTGAGAAGGCCCACGAGGCTCAGCAGCGTGGAGAAAAGCAGCAGGAAGGAGGCGGTAAAGAGCAGGGCCGGGAGAGCGCTGAGCACCAACAGCAGGACAGCTGGCAGCAGATGGCTCCACACTGCGGCCGCGACAGGCCACAAGGAGCTCAGCAGGTAGGAGCCGGTGGTGAAGAGCGCGTGGCACAGCATCAGCGACAGCAGCAGGTAGAGGACCCCCTCCAGACCCCTCAGCACACGCTGAAATGGTTGCCGCCAGCCCGACGTGGTCCACCACTGGGCCCAGCTCCGAGGCACGTGGCACCTGCACCAGCGCACCCAGCCCTGCCGCGTGACCCAGGCCGACCAGGGCACTGCCTGCTGCGGCCCCTCGCCGGCCCCGATGGCATCTGTCTCCACTTGGGGCTGCGGCATCATGGTTAGTGCACCTAGGGAGAGGGCCAGGCCAGCTGCAGAAGCAGCCCTGGAGATGCCTGGGACCTCAAGGCAGGTGGGGGTCCAGGGGTCGGGAGGGTACCAGCGTGGGTGGGGTGGGGCTTTGAGCTGGGGCGTGGATCTTACCTCTGGGCAGAAACCCCTAAGTCATGTTGCTTCCTGCAGTGCTCAGGACCGCCTGGCAGCCAGAGTTGAGCCCCCACTGTCATTCCTCCCCCTCCTCCCCCCCTCCCCGGGGATCCCCATTGTGACCCGGGAGGGGGTGGAGTCCAGCCAAGAGAGGAGCCAGCCGCTGCGCAGCCTCTCCATGGCCCCTCCAGCCTGGCAGGGGCATGGGGTGAGCCCACAGATGTAGATTCCCAGGCTTTCCTGAGGGAAGCCCCCTCGGGATCCCCGTTCCTACCCTGCTACCTGATATCCAGTCCCACTCTGCTCTCTTGTCCGTCTTTCTGGACGCCCATTCTCTGGAACCACAGAGGAGGCCAGAATGGCCAACCCCAACCCACAAGCTCGGAAATGGCTGCCACATCCTGTCCTGCACTCCCTGTCCCTCATCTCACCTTCTATTTCTTGTCCTCAGACTCAGACTCAGGTGTCCACTGTCCATATTGTGGGTCCGGAGGTCCCCTGAGCTCAGAGGTACGCTCCTGCGTGCTCAGCCCAGGATGGAGGAAGGAGACCTGGGAAGCAGCATGGCCAGTGTATTTCTGGAGGGCACTCAGATCCAAGGATGGAGGCAGAAAGCCAGGCCGAGCAGGGCCACGGGCACGCCGCGCGCTCCCAGGAACAACCCCAGGCCCAGAAGCAGCAGCAGCAGGGCCTCGTGGGGGCTGAGTCTTCCTGGGACCACCGCCGCCGTAGGTAGGAGGACAGCCTCCCGCTGTCCCGGACCCTCACCGGCCCCCTGACTCCGGCCTCCTGTGAGAAGTGTGTGCTGTGGCCGGGGGGCGTCTGCGGGCCTGTGGAGAGAGCAGGTGGCCTCTGGGCTTCTAGAAGGTGACCACTTACCCGCCTGCCAGGCTGCAGCGCACTTACCAGTGGAGAAGGTCGAAGGCCAGGAAACTGACCAGGAGCAGCAGCAGCAAGGCTGGGCCAGCCGTGGAAAAGACTGTCCGAATCGTCAGCCCCAGTGCCCCCAGCCCTAGGACGCTGTCGAGGAGCTGGGCCAGGTTAGGGCCCCAGGGGGACGTACGTGGACCCACTGGACTACACGACCCCTCCCCCGCACCCAGGCCCCTGGGAGGGACTGGGATAGGACAAGCAAGGGCTTTGGGCCTGGGTAAGCGGAGCTGGGTCATGGAGGGAGGTGGAGGTGACAGGAAGGACTAATGTGGGAGGGAGTGTGGGGAGTGGGTGTGTGGGAGGGAGTGGGGCCCTGGCAGACACTCAAGGGTGAGCTCGGTGGGAATCTCCCCCTCCCCACACACCCACCCACCAAACCCTCCTCACCTCTCTTTTCAGTCAGCTATTCTGGGACAGGGCAGCTGGGGCATTGTGACCTATTGCCAGGTGGGGCCCTGAGGCAGAGAGGGGGGCTGCTGCTGGTTTGGGCCTCATAAGCTTAGCCAGAAGGGAGTCAGTGATTTCTGAGAATGAAGACTCATCCCCTTGCCTTTGGGAATTCTCTGCCCTAGGGCGCCCCCCCCCCTCGCCGTGGGGATCTGAGTTACCAGGAAGGCATTCTAACCCCATCGTCACATGGGCAGCTGAGCACGAGAGGAAGGACTGCTTTCTTTCTCCTGCGGGTTCCCAGAGCTGTGTGTCCAGGGGCAATCATTCAATCTTCCTGTCGGCAGCTCTCTCTCCCCTGAGAGCTGGGTGATACCTATGGGCCCCGTGGAGGGAATTTTCAGGATGGTAGCCCTGGAGTGCAGAGATAGGCTCTGCCAGGAAGTTCCCTGAGGCTTTCTGGGGCGGGGCTCCCACCAGACTGCTAAGGGGTGGGGCAGGAGGGGGCTGTTTCTCAGCCTGTGGTTTGTGGGAAGTGTTCCAGATACTGGGATTCCAGAAATGGCATAGATAACGTGAATGTAAGAGGGCCACATCATAGGAAACCCCAAACTGGAGGTTGAAGTTACCCTCTGAGAATGAAATTAAGGAAAATGGACAGATAAGGAAGCAATTGATCATCTGGAAAAAAAACCAAAACCCTATTCCCATGATAATCTGTAAGTGGGTGGTGGTTACAGAAGTTCCACCGCATCTCAGTTTAGTGACTTGAGAGGCAAGAGTGGAAGCGGATCATAACTGGGAACAGAATCCTTGCGCATATACCATACTTTGAAGGAAAACTGAATGGGGTGGGGGAAGAAGGGGACAGTGACCATAGAGCCCCAAGGAGAGGAGACAGCAAGAATCAGGCACCAGGGGCTCCTGGTTGGTGGCTCAGTTGGTTAAGCATCCAGATTCTCCGCATGGGCTCAGGTCATGATCTCACGGTTCGTGGAATCGAGTCCTGCCACAGGCTTTGTGCTGACAGAGTGGAGTCTGCTTGGGATTCTTACTCCCCCGCCCCTCTCTCTCTCTCTCTCTGCCCCTCCCCCGCTTGCATGCATGTGTATCCACCTTCTCTCTCCCTCTCTCCACTAAAACAAATAAATAAACATTAAAAAAAAGAATCAGGTGGCGTATCTCATATCTGCCTCCAGTGGGCCCTGTCCAAAGACTCAAGCCTGGTGGACTTGACATCTTTGGAAGTGATGGGCTCAACAGTGCATACAGCCAATGCTGCTGGCCCTTGGGACCATTCATTGGTGGTTCTTGCTTTGGTTCTTCCCAGAGTAATAAAGCAATGCCTGCAAAATTCTGAGGGAAGATTATTTCCAACCTAAACCCAGGTATCTGTCCAAATGATTATCACATATGAGAATAGAATAAAGACATTGTAAGCCATGCAAGTTCTCAAAACTTTGACCTTGCATACACTCTTTCCTAGAAAGCTGCCAGAGGATGTGCTTCAGCAAAATCAGGCATTAAACCGCAAGGACAATACGAGACTAAAGAAATGAGGCTAAGTACAGGAAAGCAATGATGAGAAAGGCTCAGGATGTCAGCTGTGCTTCCCAGTGAAGAAAGAAAACAACCCAGCCTGGACTCAAAAGCAAGATGCTCCGGGAGGGATGTCTCCAGAAGAAAATGAGATCGATTATCTGCGGGTTTTAGATATGTTAAAAATAAATGTTCAGTTCCACTGTTTGCTTTGGGAGTAAATTATCCATTGGTGCCCAGAAAACCAAGCAGATGATAAAACAAAGTAATCACTAACTCCAGGGAACACAAAAAGCTGAACAGTAATATTTACATGGCCACAAGGTAAGCCCTGAATATCCATCCCAGTGATTTAGCTCTTTGGGAGGATGGAAGAAGTGTGTTAGTGTCCTTGAACGTATGTGTGGGGGAGGGTGGTAGGAAAAGCGAAATCCTTAATTCCATAGCAGGAAATCTACAGATAACATCTAGAGCTAGAAAAATTAAGAGGTAGCAATAGAAGCATAGAGATAAATACAAGGAGAAATAACAATTAAAAGTGGCTGACTCGGGAATGGAGAAGCATAGAAAAGAGTCTTCTCTTGCAAGCCTAAAATGTGATTTACCTTTAAAACTATATTCTGTAGTATTTTGGTCAAAAATGATTTAGTTCAACATAAAGAAAATTAATGGAGGGTCATATTGTAGAGGTCAGGAACATACCCTCCCGGGATGAACGAAATACCAATTTCCAAACGTTACCTGGATGTGCTCTTGTAGCTTGAGATAGGATTTCCGGTGACAGCCTCAAACACCATCCAACTTGAAAGTTGTGAGTCTCATGCATTTTAGATGGAGGTGCTCTAAATCTCCATCTAGTGCTTCTCAGCCTTTAATGTGCACATGAGCCTCCTGGGGTTGACTCCTCTGGGGATCTCGTTAAAATGCAGATTCTGATGCAGCAGGTCTGGGGTTGGCATTCTGCATTTCTAACAAGCTCCCAGGGGATGGCGGTCCTGTTGGTCCTCTGCCACATTTTGAGAAGGAGGGCTCCCAGAGACATGGATGTACAAAAGAGAGAGAGAGAGAGAGCTGGGGGAGGTGGTGAGCAAACGACGGGTAGGTGGGGAGATGCCTCCTAGTGCATGTAAGGTGCCATGGTGGGGGGGCAGTCTCCATCAAGGCTCACCTCCATCACAGGGAGAGCACTTAGTACAGAGTGAGTTCTGCCCCCGCATCAGGGACAGAAGGTTAGGAGGCCCGGGCAGGCAGCAGATTCCATGACTTCTCTACTTGTTGCAGCCAGACACATGGCCTCCTTTCTTTTCTTGATTTATTCCATCCATGCATGGGGGAATAAGAGGGCTGTATTAAGCTGTTTTCCCACCCTTAGTTCACCTGGTTAGTTTAGGAGCCCCTGGGAACCGCACATTATCTTGCTTCATCACAAAACCCTGAGATTAAGATATTATTGCCCCCATTTTACAGATGAGGAAACAGAGGCTCAGAGAGCGAGGGACTGTCCAAGGATACCCACACAAAATAAAATAGCAGAGGCGGGTGTGAAATTAAGCCTATGCGGTACCAAAGTCAGCTCTCCTCTCCACCTCCAGCCACCTGACCACCCTGGGGAGCCGGCAGGAGTGGAGCACCTCAGTGCAAACCTCGGAGCTGCGCCTCCAGAACCTGCTTCCAGGTACCCAAGTGGCAAGGGCCGAAGGCAACAGCTGAGCTGGGAGCAGGTGCGAGGCGATGAGGAACTAATGAAGGAGCATAGAAGGTTCTGAGGGGTTCAGGGGGGCATGGAGGGACACAAAGGGGCCCTGAAGGTTGTTACAGGGCAGAAAGGCAAGGGGTAAGAGGTGAAAATAAGGATGAGGGGGCACAGGGGACACAATAGGTATCAGCATCCCACAGATCCGAGCCTCTGAGGGATCAGCCAGGGGTGGTCAGTATGCCCCATCCAGCCAGTCCCTTTGGGGGAATGTCCCCCAGTTCGTGGTCTGCCATCTCTTCCTACAGAACCTTGCGCTGTTGGGGAGAGTCAGCTCCCCTCAGCTCTGCTTGGTCAAGGTCTCTCTAAACCTTGAATATATACACAGATACTTTTTTTTTTAGTATTTATTTTTGAGAGAGAGAGAGAGAGAGAGAGAGAGAGAGAGAGCATGAGTAGGGGAGGGTCAGAGAGAGAGGGAGACGCAGATTCCAAAGCAGACCCCCAGGCTCTGAGCGAGCTGTCAGCCCAGAGCCCCACACGGGGCTCGAACCCACAAACCGCAAGATCGTGACCTGAGCCGAA